ATAAGTACTCAGGTCAAGTAGACACTGTTACCTCTGTTTTACAGATGAGAAAACAGAGTCTCTCCCTGCGGTGGGTAAGTATCGAAGTTAGGATTCACATCAAGGCCATTCTGTCTTCTTTATGTTGCTATTGGTGGTCTAACTTCCACTATTTATTTTCCCTTCCCTTTCTTTTCTTCTTTTCCTTTTCCTCTTTTTTTTTTTTTTTTTTGAAACAGGATCTTGCTCTGTTGCCCAGGCTGGAGTGCAGTGGCATGATCATAGCTCACTACAGCCTTTACCTCCTGTTTTCAAGTGATACGTCCACCTATCCCCTCCTAAGTAACTGAGACTACTGGTGTGTGCCACTGTACTGGCTTATTTTAAAAAATATTTTGTAGAAATGGGGTCTTGCTATGTTGCCCAGGCTGGTCTCAACTCCCGGCCTGAAATGATCCTCCCAATATGGCCTCTCAAAGTGTTGGGATTACAGGCTTGAGCCACCACAGCTGGCCCCCTGTTCCCTTTCTAACAGAACTTCAGCTTTGTTTAATTATTTACCACTCCTCAAAATAGCTACCATGGGCCAAGGGTCAATGACCCCATTTCTAGTTCTTGTGGGCAGGATGGGAAGATTGATTAGCCAATCACAATAATCCCCTGTGCCTGGTTTAAGAATCTGGGCTTAAGCCAATCATTATGTGACATTCTCCTGGTGATTGTCTTAGGTCTAGGATGACAGAAGCAGGCACAGTAAGACTGAAGGAATGGCCATCAATTCCATATTTTGGGGAAAGGCTCTTCTATCTGTCTTGCTGGAAATAAACTAGTAGGTATGTTGCTGCTGGCAGCCCTTCTGTGACTCTGGAGGAAGCTGACTCTTCTGATACCAACTGTTCTGACACCAACTGGTGTACTGTAATATGATTCCCCAGATGCAAATACAAATACCCAGAGTTAGTGGAGACTCCACACTATAGGGCACAGTCCCCTACAAGACTGTTTCACTTCAAATGCCAGCCACAAGGTGGGGTCTCAGACCACCAGCATTTCTGACCAGCTGGCTACAAATCTGAGTGTTCCCACAATCCCTCTCAGGTTCAATAATTTGCTAGAATGACTCACAGAACTCAGGAAAGCCTACATTATGATTATAGTTTTATAATAAAGAATATCAATCAAGAGCATAGGGTAAGGCCTAAGAGCTTCTAGAATGCAGAGCTTCTGGGCCCTGTCCCCATGGAATTGGCCCATATCACTCTCACAGTGCATCAGTGTGTTCATTAACCAGGAGCTCCACTGAGCTTCAACATCCAGAGTTTTTATTAGAGTGCCATTCCATTGGCATGACTGAACATTGGCCACGTGGTTGAACTCAATCTCCAGCTCTTCCTCCCTCCTTGGAGGTAGGGCTGGTTCAAAACCCCAACCCTCTAATTACGTGGTTGATCTTTCTGGTGACCAGTCTTAATCCTGAACCATCTCAGCATAAACTCAGGTGTAATCCATGGAGCTCATGAATAACAAAGACACTCCTATCCCTTGGGAAATTCCACAGAGTTTAAGAAGCTCTGTGCCAGGAACCTGAGACAGGACCAGACAAATTCTTCATTATACAAACCTGACCTTCAGACAAACCTGAAGGTTATGGAGAAAATACCGATAAAACAGAAGAGAGACAAAGCCAGAGCCCACACTACTCTGCATTCTCTGAAATATGAGCTAGTACTTTCCTCATCATTTAAGCCAGTTTGAATTGGGTTTCTGTCACTTATAGCTAATTGATCTTACACTGACTATTATACTTTGAAGTGCAAGAAACAGAAACCCCAACAAAAAATAACTTAAACAATAAGAACTTCTGTTATTCCACAAAATGAAAATCTGGAGGTAAAACAGTTCTAGAGTTTTTATTTTTTAACTCAGGGCTGGGACAAGGCTGGCACAAAATTTCAGGAGTCCAAAAAAATTCAATCAGCAAGATAAATAGTATTTATGACAATATTTTAAAAATGAAAATTAATGCAAAAAATTGGGAATAAAATATCAAAATTTTAAGTAAAGATAATCAGCATTACTGATTTTTCTTTTTTTTTTTTTTTGCTCTGGGCTTCAACATCACTCAGCACGGCACTGTTACCAACCCTGTGTTTATTTAAAATTTTGGTATTTTTTCAAAATTTTGGATATTTGCATTATTTTTATTTTTAAAACTTAATTCTAGGCTGGGCACGGTGATTCACACCTATAATCCTAGCACTTTGGTGGGAGGATTGCTTGAGGTCAGGAGTATGACACTGGCCTGGGCATCATAGGGAGACCCCTGTCTCTACAAAAAAGATAAAAATTAGCCAGGTGTGGTAGTGCTTGCCTGTAGTCCCAGCTACTCAGAAGGCCAAGGTGGGAAGATTTCTGGAGCCCTGGAGTTCGAATCTGCAGTGAGCTATGATTGCACCACTGTACACCAGCCTGGGAGACAGAGTGAGACACTGTCTCATATATATATATATATATATAATCTTGATTACTGAGATTGAGATTTTGGGCACCCCTTAAACTTTGTGCTCTAGGTGAGTGCCTTCCTCACCTGGGCCCATTCCCACTCCATTTCACCTTTCCATCCTCAGATGTTGACCGGAGACCTCAGCTGGTTTCCCTTCGTGGTTGTAAGCGGACTGCCACTATTCTGGGAACAACAACATCAAACAAAAACCAAAGAGTGTTTTGTTCTGCGCATCTTTTTCATCAACAACGAAAACTTTCCCAAAAGCTCCAGCAGACTTTCCTCACTGGCCAGAATTGCACCACATGCCATGTCTAAACCAGTCACTGACAAGGCCGAGGGAGCACCCACGCTTGGCTGACAGCAATCACACTGAGCCTGGGGAGGACGTTGCTTTCCTTGAGCACCTGGCCTTGTGGAGGCTGGACACCTGATCAAGTTCAAGACTTTACCCCAAAGAACACATACTATGTGAAGTTTAGAAAGAAGCCACACAACTCACTTCTCAGCCTTTTGGCTAAGATTAAGTGCAAAAACAAGCCACACTAGTCTATGGCATAGAACTCAAGAGTGTTGTCACCTTTGGGGAGGTGGATGAAGGTACTGATTGGAAGGCGGCATGAGGGCAGCTTGTGGGATACAAGTAATGTTCTCTATTTCTTAATCTGAGTCATGGGTACTTGGGTGTGTTGACCCAAGTACCCATGACTGTAGGCATGATTTGTGCACTTTTCTGTATGTATATTTGAGGTTCAAAGTGTGGTCCATGGCCCAGCAGCATTAACATCATAACAACAGGAGCTTGTTATAAATGCAGAATTGAGGTCCCAGCACCTACTGAATCAGAAGCTGCACTTTAACTACATTGCCAGGCAATACACTCACACGTTAAAGTTCGAGAAACACAGTATTATACTTCAATTTTTAAAAACTGCTTTCATAGGAAATATTGGGGCTTTCCCAGCAACGAAGGTGGGGAGATTGGGTTTGGGTAGAGCAGGAACAGTGCTGACTCGAAAGCCTGTTACAGGGTTTACAAAGTAGCTACTCACCAGTCCCTACTCAGTGGCAGCTGCTTCTGCCGCTCTTCCTCTCTTCAACTGTTCTTCACTTTCTCTGCTTTCAACAATTTGTTTTTCATCAAACAGGGGCTCAGGCAGCACCTGGGGGCTCAAAACACACTGAATGTCACGTGGTAAGGACAGCCACATGAAGTAAGCATGAGATGGCGATCTCCTCTGAAATATGAGCCTCATTCCTTTGAAAGTAGCAAAGAATTATCCAGAGGCGTTGGGAAAATGATAAGAAAATCTTACCTCGATTGAGAAAGAGTGAATGCCAAAGGCCTCCCTTCACCTGCTCCATTGCCTGTAACCAAGCACTCACCCACCTCAGCTGGAGACATTAGATTGAAAACAAACTCCCAGTCCCCATTTAAAGAGGTCAGCCGTGGGCAGTGAGGATGGGATGCTCATGGAGGTGAGGTGTGTGGTGCCCCACAGTGGGGGAAATGACTTAAAATATACATCAGCATAATGGTGATTTCAGCCTAACATAGCTTGGTAAGGAACAGTGGTTCTGCAAGAATCCTTTGTATATGGTTTGCCAGAAGGAACATAAACTGAGATTCTAAACTCCAGAAACACAGGCATTTTAGGAACTGTCCGCTTTATTCCTTTTGCTCTTATTTAAGATAAAAATTCTGCCTCTGATTCCTGCCTGCAATTTCAGGTCACCCAGACCCCTATTTGTGCCCCCATCCCTTCGTGCTGAAGACCCCCTAGGGACAGCAGAACGAACTAGCTCAGAGAGGGGACCGGGAGATAGGAGCAGGGGAAGAGGTATCTTCTAATACGTATCAGGTACATTCTCCTTTTAAAGACTCAAGTTGGCCAAGTGCGGTGGCTCATGCCTATAATCCCAGCACTTTGGGAGGCTAAGGCGGGTGGATCACCTGAGGTCAGGAATTCGAGACCAGGCTGGCCAACATAGCAAAACTCCGTCTCTAATAAAAATAAAAAATAATTTTAAAAAAAATTAGCTGAGTATGGTGGTGCATGCCTGTAATTCCAGCTACTTGTGAGGCTGAGGCAGGAGAATTGCTTGAACCCGGGAGGTGGAGGTTGCAGTGAGCCGAGATCGCGCCACTGCACTCCAGCCTGGGCGACAGAGCTGTCTGGAAAAAAAAAAAAAGACTCAAGTCCATGGCAAAGTCAGCCATGGGGGAACTGAGAAAGGTTCCAGGAAGCTGTGGCCTAGTAATCAGACAAAAGGTGTATCCACCACCCAGGGGCCCACATAAAAGCTCCTGGGTAACCCACATCTACACTCATAACTATGGGCAGGGCCAGCTTCCTGGGGGTGCAACCAGTGCAGGCTTATGGGGCCCTGCACTCACAACAGCCCTGTCATTGTCTGAGACTTTCTTTTTCTTTTCTTTCTCTCTTTTTTTTTTTTTTGAGACGGAGTCATACTCTGTTGCCCAGGCTGCAGTGCAGTGGTGCAATCTTGGCTCACTGTAACCTCCGCCTCCCAGGTTCAAGCGATCCTCCCATTTAATAACTTTACACAAGGGGCCCTGCATTTTCATTTTGTACTGGGCTCCCCAAATTATGTAGCTGGTCCTGAATGCTAGAATGGCCAGCAAGGGGAGATGTCTTTTGCCTCTACCCCACCCCGAGGCCCAGGGTGCCCCATGAAGAATCGGATCCAACTTGTCCTGAGTCTTTCTGACCCCAGAATGGCCTTTTTCTCCAGCTCACTGCTTTAGGCCTTCTCTGTCTTGTTTTCAGTCCTTTCCTCTCTATCCGTCCATATTAGTTTTCTACTGCAGACATAACAAACTACCATAACCTTGGTGACTTAAACAAGATGAATGTATCATCTGACAGTTCTGTGGTTAGGAAGTCCCACCTGGGTCTCGCTGGGCTAAAATCAAAGTATTTCCTCGAGGCTCTGAGGTGAGAACTTGTCTCCCTGTGTATTCCAGCTTCTGGAGGCACCTGCCTCATAGCATTCCCTGGCCTCCTCTTCTGCCTCCCTCTCCAGCTTGCAAGGACCCTGCGTGATCTCCTTATTTGAAGGTCTGCTGATTAATCCCATCTTCAACCTTAATTCCCCTTTGCAATGTAAACTAACATACTCACAGACTCTGGGCATTAAAGTGGGGACATCTTTCGAGAGGGCCACTTTTTTGCCTACAGCACCTTACCTTTTTCCATCTTTCCCGAATCTGGAGTCCCAGCTTATCTTCTTCCTTGGCATGTTTTATTTAAAGCTCTTTCATGTTAACCATAAAGAGAAACTGATGGAAAAAAGAGGAGAAAAGGGTAGGGGGAGAGAGGTGAAGGAAGAACTAAACATGTTCGTCACCTTGCGATTTATGCTTTTATGTTCAAAACTCCCTTCACTACTTCCGCCTCTGTTTAGCACTACTACGCCTTATGTACTTGAAGATCTACAAAAATTTTAAACTTTGAAGGAAACTATACTTATGAGAAAGTGATAGGAATCATACCCATTGAGGAGGTATAGGAATTGAGGTCTTACAAAAGTGCTTTTCAGAAGGAGACTAGAAGAGAGAGATCCCCAAAAAACTGCATTTCCCTCTTCTGCTTCTGAATATGGAATCTATACTCTGGATCTGACTAATTGCCTGAGACTCTTAAATTTCCCTGGAAAGTCTTCAGTCCCTTCCTCCCTCCAAGGTTCTCCCCTCCTTTGAAGGGGCATGCGGAGCTCCGAGTCAACACAAATGTTCCCCTGTGGGTCCCTTACACCCGTGTCTCCCCTGGCTGGGACTCGAGCATTGCAAACATGAGCTCTTGGGCATATTGCTGAGAGAGGATCCTGGCGTGGCAAGTGCAGCCAGCTGGTCTCGTACCCACATCTTTTCAGTAAATTTCTCTCAAGCATATGTACACACACAAATACGCCTTCTGTTGAAGGCAATGAAATAATCTTTCACCACAGAGGCTGGAGAAAATGTGCAGAACCATGAAATGAAAGCAGTGCTTTCGGGTCTGCGGATGGTTTTGCATGGAGTGGAGACCCTGTTGTCACCATTGCTGAGCACTCGCAGGCCGCGTGAAAGTCTGGTGGGACACGCTAGTCTCCAGTGCGGGCTCCTGGGAGAGCATCCCTGTCCAGCCTGGCTAAGGAGGCTCCACGGTCAGCCCTGTCGCAGGACCCTGTCTTCCTTTTTTGGCGGCACAGATCACTCTCGGAGATCACTTTATGGATCTGCTCGTGTGTTGTCCAACTCCCCACCGGAATGTAAGCCCAACCATCTGTTCTGTTTCCTGCTGTTTCCCCCGGTGGACTTAGATGCCCAGTCCACTCTGTCACATGCCTGGGTGTGGGTAAAGAGTGTCTTTGTTCTGGGCCCATGGGTCACTGCACTTGTGGGTTGGGCCACCCTCCCCTCTGCCGCGGGGTTGCCTACCTGACCCAGCTTCTGGCCCGTCTGCTTCTCCCTCTGGAGAATCTGACCTACAACACAGGGACAGGCTTTGCCAGCTAGCGGTCACCCTCCAGGAGACATGGGGTGCACCAGGTCCTGGGGAGCTGAAACAACAAGAAAGCAGAGGAAGCTGGTTCCTGCCAGGACTGGGGCAACAGCAAGGGAAGCCAAGGTTCCACCGGTCCTTCTCAGGGCACTGTGCAGTGGGAGAGAAGCAATGAGCCCTTACAGCTCAGCACCGTGGTGCTCTCACAGGGCCAACTCTGTGCTGCTGGGCACAGAAAAGCAAACTGCTCTTTCCCTCTGAGGGCAGCCTGGGAAGGCTTCCAGGGGAGGGGATCTTGAGTCAAAACTTGAAGAATGAGTGGGGGCATGCCAGGGGTGAGGAGATGAATGCAAATCCCGTTACTCCTGCTGTGCAAGATGCTCTCCTTAAAAGAACTCGTTCGTCTGTCTCTGTCTCTCTCTCTCTTTTTCTCTCTCTCTTTGAGACAGGGTCTTGCTCTGCTGCTCAGACTGGAGTGCAGTGGTGAGATCATAGCTTATTGCAGCCTTGACCTCTTGGGCAAGCAATTCTCCTACCTCACCCTCCAGAGGCGCTAAGACGACATGTGCAAGCCCCACGCCGGTCTACCCCTCCAGAGGCACTAAGATGACATGTACGAGCCCCCACGCCGGTCTACCCCTCCAGAGGCGCTAAGATGACACGTGCGTGCCCCCACGCCGGTCTACCCCTCCAGAGGCGCTAAGACGACACGTGCGTGCCCCCACGCCGGTCTAACCCTCCAGAGGCGCTAAGATGCGTGCCCCCACGCCGGTCTAACCCTCCAGAGGCGCTAAGACGACACGTGCGAGCCCGCACGCCGGTCTAACCCTCCAGAGGCGCTAAGACGACACGTGCGAGCCCGCACGCCGGTCTAACCCTCCAGAGGCGCTAAGACGACACGTGCGTGCCCCCACGCCGGTCTAACCCTCCAGAGGCGCTAAGACGACACGTGCGTGCCCCCACGCCGGTCTAACCCTCCAGAGGCGCTAAGATGACACGTGCGAGCCCGCACGCCGGTCTAACCCTCCAGAGGCGCTAAGACGACACGTGCGAGCCCGCACGCCGGTCTAACCCTCCAGAGGTGCTAAGACGACACGTGCCCCCACGCCGGTCTAACCCTCCAGAGGCGCTAAGATGACACGTGCGTGCCCCCACGCCGGTCTACCCCTCCAGAGGCGCTAAGATGACATGTGTGTGCCCCCACGCCAGTCTAACCCTCCAGAGGCGCTAAGATGACATATGCGAGCCCCCACGCGGGCCTAATTTTTATTTTTTATTTTTTGTAGATGTAGGGTCTCACTTTGTTGCCCAGACTGGTCTTAAACACTTGGCCTCAAGTGATCCTCCTGCCTTGGCCTCTCAAAGTGTTGGGATTACAGGTGTGAGCCACCACACCTGGCCTTCCCAGTTTCTTTCTCTGTGAAAGAGTGACAAAAGCCCCTCCATGCTTTGGGGTTTTTGGGGTCACAACAATGGGAGCTCAAGCGCCTGGCACTTGTAGCAGGTAGCTCTTATTCCAGGTGACAAGGTGGCACACACTTCCTGTCTGCTCTCTGCCCTTCATTCCCTCCCTATTGCCTTGTCTGGGTTCAAACCCTCTTCCTTGCCCAAGCTTGCATTGCAGCTGTTGTCTGTACCAATTTCACCATTAAGTCCCATGTGCCTCAGTCAGGGATGTGGGGTCAGTGTGACCCCTGACCAGTAGCCCAGGCTGCCCCCGGCCATTTTCTTGCCTTCATCACTAGGATCTAAGCAGCCCCCTGGGGCTGGCAGTGACCCCCAGCACAGTTGCTGTCATGGCCTGCCAACTCCACCTGCCTCACCCTTTGCTGTTTCATAGCCAAGCCCCTAACCAGGCTGAGTCTGAGGAACAGAGTAGGGGCAGATCGAAGGAGTGGTCATTTGAGGGGCATCCCATGATAACATCTCCAGCAGCCAGATTCTGCTGCTTTGGGGAAGTCACCCATGCTTTGTCCCACCCCTGCCACCTTCTTTTTCTATATTTTTCTCAGGGCCATGGAAAGGATTCATGAGCTCATGTCTCGGAAATGCTTTGAAGATGAGAAACACTGAGCATTTTCCCAACAGCCCTCAATTTACTTTTTCAGCATTCTCTCTGGGCTGTCAAGCCTTTGTAGTTATTTTTATAAATAGCAATTGCTGGCTGCTTCCATTTTTACCCAGGAAAACTCCACCTCCAGCTGGAACTGGCTGCCATCCTACAGCAGACCAGCCATGGGGCTAGATCTGTCCCCATTTCTCTTGACCAACTCCCTTTGCACATCCCTCCCTTTGTTGCAGACCCCACCTCACTATCTCTTGTACGCCTCCAGTGCCACCCTGTCTCCCTGTCACCAAGCCACTGATCTGTCCCAATGACTCTTCATACACAGCCCAAGTTCTCCAACATGGCACACAAGGCCGTCTGTGCCTTGGCCACCACTCACCTGTTCAGCCACATCCCTGGTCTTGTCCCCTACCACTTCTGGGCTCAGTCATCCTGAACTACCTCTTGTTCCCTGAAGCAGGCCAGGTCATGGCTCTAGGCCAGGAGGGAAGACAGTCCATAGAAAATGGAGATGGAGCCTGGTGGTGGGTCTGCCCTGGTATGGAGGGTAGAGCAGGCTCCTTGACTGATGCACAGTTATGTTTTGTTTTACTTTTTGGAGTCATGGCCTCACTCTGTCACCCAGGCTGGAGTGCAGGGGCTCAAACACGGCTCACTGCAGATTCAAGCTCCTGGGCTCAAGTGATCCTCTTACCTCTGCCTTTCAAGTAGATGGGACTACAAGTGCCAGCCATCCCACTTGGCTAATTTTGTTTTAAGAGATGGGGTCTCTCTATGCTGCCCAGGCTAGTCTGGAACTCCTGGCCTTGAGTGATCCTCCTGCCTTGGGCTTCCAAAGTTTGAGCCATCATTTAAATATTTAAATGAAATATTGAAATAATATAAAAACTCATGGGGAATAATGTAATGAATATTTATGATACAATGAATACAATGAACAACACAATGGCCTAATAAATGACAAGTCACCTTTATTATCTATGGACCTCTTTTTACCCTCCAGCTCTCCCCACCAATGAAAACCATTATCAGGCTGGGCGCGGTGGCTCACACCTATAATCCCAGCACTTTGAGAGGCTGAGGCAGGCAGATCACCTGAGGTCGGGAGTTCAAGACCAGCCTGACCAACATGGAGAAACCCTGTCTCTACTAAAAATATGAAATTAGTCGGGCATGGTGGTGCATGCCTGTAATCCCAGCTACTCAGGATGCTGAGGCAGGAGAATCACTTGAACCCAGGAGCCGGAGGTTGTGGCGAGCCGAGATTGTGCCATCGCACTCCAGCCTGGCAACAAGAGTGAAACTCGGTCTCAAGAAAAGGAAAACCATTATCATAAGTTTGGTGTCTAATATTTCTAGGCAAGTCTTCATGCTTTATGTGTATACGTACCTAAATAATATATAGCATTGTTTTGTGTGTTCTTAGACTATGTAAATGCTGACTTGCTGTACATATCCTTATGAGATTTACCCTCTGCTCAATAAGCTAACCCTTGCTTTCTTGCTGATACCAATAATAATCTTTTTATTACAGTCTTAACAAGAGTCATGCCAATCAGTGAGGTTCTAAGGGTGGGAGTGGTAGGAGCAGTCTAGGCTGCAGGAAGGAACATTTTGTCACAGGCATTGTTTAGAATTGCTGGTGCATGCATGCTGGTAATAAAAAGCAGACCAACTTTCAGTGTCAGGCTGCCCTAACAAATACCACGTACTGGGTGGCTTAAGCAATAGACATTTCTTTCTCACAGTTGTGGAGGTTGGAAGTGGAAGGTCAAGGTGTTGGCAGGGTTGGTTTCTCCTGAGGCCCTTCTTCTTGGCTTGTGGATGCCGCCTTCTTGCCGTGTCTTCATGTGGCCTTTTCTCTGAGCCCATGCATCCCTGGTGTCTCTGTGTACCCAAATTTCCTCTTATAAGGACACCAGTCACATTGGATTAGGGTCCAGCCAAATGGCCTCATTTTTACTTAATCACCCTTAAAGTTCTTACCTGCAAATACAGCCCCATTTTGAGCTACTGGGGGTTCAGGCTTCAACATATGAATTAGAGAGGACACAAGTCAACCCATCACAATCACCAAGCCCCAGTGTCCAGGGGGTGAAATATACTCTGCTGCTGTGGGGCACCATAGAACCAAGTGGTAGGAGAGAGTAAAGAATTGAGAGCAACAATCTACCTATCAAACTGAGGTGCTATCTCCATTTTACAGATAAAGAAACAGGCCCAAAGACCAGCCCCGAGCCACATCACATATCTAGGAAGTGGCATCAAGGGGTGCCTCAATGCCAACGCCTCAGACAAATCCAGGTCTCTTTGCCGCCCTGCAGCACGGCTGCTCCACCTTCTTCTTGTTCTCAACCCCCAGGCTCTGGACCTGTCTCCGTCCTCAGGACCATGTACATGGAAATTCTGCTGCCGGGGATGCCAGCCCATAACTTTTGGGAGAAACTCTCCCATCAGGTGTCCAGTGACAGCTGCCAGTGGGTGCCAGGGTAACAGGGTATTTGTGTTCCAGGTCATCTGGCATACCTTGCTCCTTCCCCACCTCAGGACCCTCATCTCAGGGAGCCTCTTCTGCTGACTTCTGGAAAGGCCTGGACTCCTTTGTTCCATGGAGTCATCAGGTAACTACCAAGAGTCCTCAGTTTGCTATTCCCCAGCACCTTGTCGAGCTTCCCTGGGTGTCCCAGGTCTTGCTGTGTTCAGTGCGGCTCGAGTCATACTTGGCCTTCTTGAGCAATGATAAAGGTGGCTTTTAGTTAGGGAACGAAGACAGCCTCAGAGGGGAGAAGCCGATCAGTATTTCAAGCCCCAGATGATGTGAAAAACTGAGCCTTTGTTTGGGAGTGTCACCCCCCAGGACTTGTGTGTTTCTGCCCGGAAGCATTTTCTGCTTTCTGAAGGTGGCAGCTCTATTTTTCGTTTTATTGACTGCCTATGTGCCAGGGGCTTTGTGAATATCACTGCACTGAAATTCCCAATACCCAGCAAGA